ACACACACACTCGCACACACACTCAGACACACACACATTGAGACACACACACACACTCGCACACACACTCAGACACACACACATTGAGAGAGACACACACACTCGCACACACACTCAGACACACACACATTGAGACACACACACACACTCGCACACACACTCAGACACACACACACACACACACAGAGACACACTCACACAGACACACACACACTCACACACACACAGATACACTCAGACACACTCACACACACACACACACTCTTCTGCTGACTGCAGTGAATCTGCTGGATGATGTCTGTTATGATTACTGGAGGTATTTTCTCTGTTTAGTTCATCTCTCCACACACACACTATAGGTTTATATGTTCTATAAGTTCTATATTTATGTTTCTTTTATTATTTAGCATTAGATCATTTTAAGACTTCAGCGAAGCTGTTGAACTTTCAGTAGATTTGTCATAAGAAGAAGGTGAATCAGGCCAGTGGCAAACACTAAGAGTGAAGCGAACATGTTTAGAAAAGCCACGAAATGAAAGCTGCTTTAACTTTGAGAGTTTCTCAGTCCTTCACACAGTTAAACACAGCTAGCGATTGTGATGTTTCAGTTCTTGCCCTGATCTAGTGACCTGAAATAAATTCAGCTGGAAAAAAACAAGCAAAGTTTTGTAAATCTAATGTTCATTACTGTGTTTTATTTGAAGTTTTATTTTATCATAGTTTCAGCCATAATTCTTGTTGATTAACGGGTGATAATAATCCGGATGGTGTTTCCTCAGCGCTGCTTTGGCTTTCTGAAGCTGGTTGTCTGTTTTCAGTCGTGGCACTGTACTGTATGTCCTCTCTCTCTCTCTATAGACAGGACGTCCTGTATTTTCCTGATGGTCCTTTCTTTGGAAATAAATTGGGTTTACTTTAAGGAGTGATGCCTGTGTTATTTGTCATGTAAATGATGTTTCTTCACTCTGCTGTCTGTTGTTAGGAAAGCTGCAGAAGAGGAAGGTCCGTGTTGAACCGCGTCTCTGGCTTCTTCAGATAGAGAGGAATGACAAACGAAGCCTACTGGAGACAGATTTCTGTTTTCTGTTCAATAGCCCTAAGCATTGTAAGATTTAGAGAATCTCCAACACTGATAACTGTTAAGCTGATGCCATTTGTCTGGACCGGAGGAGGGCCACAGTCTGAAGAGATGAAGAACTCTTACGAGAATCAGCATCTGAACACTGTCTAACAAGCCTCACATCCTCATTCAACACAACACACCCAACTGAGAGAGACAAAAGTTTCTCACCTTATGAACGATTACACTAGAGATCACCGAAACCACTATTAATCAGACTAACAATGCAACTGTTCGTGTTTGATGTCATTGGAAAGGTCTCTGTGTGTGTCTGGTAAAAGGTCTCATTCTCTTAACAATAGGACAGCCATCAAGATTAGAGCATACTGAAAACAGCCTACTCCCAGTGTCTCGTGCAAACTACCTTCTGTCCCAAAAGGTGTTAACTCTACTTGATCAATGCAAATTCCAATTATTAGTCCCTGTCTCCATTCCCTGTCTGGATGTCTGTGTTGGTCAGAAGCTCTTCAGGAAATGTTGGAAGAAGCTCGGGGCCTTCTGTAGCCGGAATGAGCCCGTGGTATAAAGTGTGTTCACGCACGTCATACTATGTGTTAGTCTCAAGTCAGGTATGCATCTCTTACTCTTAGCTTCATCTTTGAGATTTTGATGTCTTGTATTGATTTGGTATCTTTGAATTGGCTATGTAATTGGCATTATACATATTCACCTGACTAATAATACATTGTTATATTTGTTTTCATTCCGATTTACTCTGAGATCATTGACTCTAATTAATTGTGCTAAGTCTATAACACTGCAAATCTGCGCTCAGGTTAGCAACAGCCTAAACTGATGTTTCAGAGCTCCGGCTAACACACTGGCACTAGTTATGTATACTTAGACTGTAGAGGCTATTGGGTTTTTCCGTTTAGAGCAACAGTGTGTTGTTGACCAACCTACATTTGGGTCAGCCTCAACCTCTGATTATTGTAACATTATTCTAACTAAGTGTACGTGAGAAATCACGGCATGATTATATAAAGTTACTTAGAAGAAGTCAAGTTGGTCAACTTGGTTCTATAGTAATGGTCATGACCTCTGGTTAGATATAGTCTTACCTTAATTAAGTGTTTACAGATCTATGGGGACTAATAAAAGTATTCTAGAATGAGCAAAGTATGGCCTGGGCCATCTAGAATATTAGTCAATCGCCTCTGTCTAATGACCGAGACTGACCAGACTCAAAGTGTTATAGGAATACGATTAATGAGATTCAATACGATTAAAGAGCGAAATAGAATAATCAAATGCCAGAATAATAATAATAATTAGAAATGAACAAACAACCAACTGGCATTTCAACCTAAATTTGAGGTCATAATAAAATGCAGTCAGATTAGAATTCAACCTAAATGTAATCACTTTAATGTAATAAAAGACCGAACACGCAGGAAACCTTCATCCACCATTGGATGCCTTCCTTGGGCCAATGGCGTGGACCTTACAGCATGGACCTCACAAGTGTCTTGTTGGAAGAGCAAGATCTCACAGCATTCTG